CTGTGGCTCAAGTGGTAGAGCGCTAGCCTTGAGCTGAAGAGCTGAGGGACAGCACCCAGGCCCAGAGTTCAGGCCCCACGACCGGACCCAAAAATAAGCAAATAAATAAAATAAATAAAAAATAATAAATAAATAATGTAAGCAGACTTTGGATTATGTATGAATAAGGATGGTGGTAATGTCATTGAAACTCAAGCTTTCTTTACCTTTCGGTTCAACATTCCCCACATAAGGGTATCTAGAGTACCATTTGCAATGAGGTAATGAATATTCACAGAATTGCACTGCCCAATTCGGTGAGCACGGTCTTCTGCTTGTTTTATATGTCCAGGGTCCCAATACAGCTCAGCAAATACAACATGACTTGCAGCAGTAAATGTTAAACCCTAATTAAAATAAAGAACTGAGATGCAAATAAATTGAGAATATAATGAAAAAGTCATACATAATAAAGTCTTTTTGAACATGGAGAGAACTCTAAGGGACTTAAAAATGAATCAGTTATTCATTTTAAGAAGAATAAACAAGATTTATCTCATGAAAGGCAAATGTAGATTGGTTATATTGCAAGCTATCCAGGTGAACTTAAAAAAAAAGACATTTAATAGGCACTTCAATATTTCAAACGTCAGGTTGATGAATATATATATATATATATATACACACATATATATATAGACAAAATCACTTTATCCTTTGATGAAAGCTGGATCCACTTTACCACTGGAAAATCTAATAAAATACATTATAAAAGAGAATATAATTTCAAACACATGGTATCCATAGCAACTAGGCAGACAGCATTGACATTTTCTTTATTTAACTCAAACTTGTGCTTAAAGTAAGAAAATCATGTTTCCAGTCATTCTATTTCCTTCCTGTACAATTTCTCATGTTAGATTCTGAAGACCTCAAGTTTACTACTTTATATCTCAATATCTATTATCTATCTATCTGATGTCATTGCATTTTTGGTGTACCTACATTTAGTGCAACTGTAAATTTGAAGTAGTGTGACATGAAAATATTGTTTTCTTCTACAATCAATGTATGAAATAATGCTAGTCTACTTAGATAAAAATGTTTCAAAAATATATGATTTTGCTGTGCACTGGTAGCTCACACCTATAATCCTAGGAGGCTGAGATCTGAGGATCATGGTTCAAAGCCAGCCTGGGCAGGAAAGTCCGTGAGACTCTTATCTCCAATAAACCACTCAGAAAACTGGAAGTGGCACAGTGGCTCAAGTGGTAGAGTGCTGGCCTTGAGTTAAAGAGCTGAGGGACAGTGTTCAGGCCCAGAGTTCAAGCCCCATAACCGACAAAAAATTTTTTTTAAAAATAATATATATGATTTTTATAGATGGTAGATTAGATAACTGTGAACCATGCTTATGGAATGGGCATATGTTAATAAGTGATGATGGTATGGGTAGAAAATCTACCATCTTTTAGGCATACAGTCTATTTCATGCTATTGTTCATATGCACTAGAACCTTTCTGAATTCGTTGGTACAAAACAGTGAGTTTTATAAATGTTAATTGTATACAACAAGGTTACATTAGCATTCAAGCATAGTTGGGCTGGGAATGTGGCTTAGTGGTAGAGTGCTTGTCTAGCATACTTGAAGCCCTAGGTTCAATTCCTCAGTACCACATAAACAGAAAAAGCCTGAAGTGGTGCTGTGGCTCAAGCGGAAGAGCACTAGCCTTGAGCAAAAGAAGTTCAGGGACAGTGTTCAGGCCCTGATTCCAAGCCCCAGGACTGGCAAAAAAATAAAAAAAGAAGAAGCATATTTGTCAAGCTGAAAGTCATTTAAAAATTAGTCACTTCATAAAATAGGCTAGGAGTAATACAAACATGGATAGAGCTAAACAAACATAATGTTAAACTGTGCCATAGAGCTAATGCTGAATAAGTAAGCAGTGGTATTTAAAAAGATACCTTTAAGCTTGGAAAAACATTGTATCACTACATAAAAATAAAGGTTAGGTATCCTGGCAAGATTAAGATCAGTCTAAGAAGCTGCTAAACTATAATGTAAAATTCATAAGCATCAAGAACAAAGCTCTTCCCACTTTATATTATTCTTGTAAAGATATCTATCTTCACGTAGATGCGTCTTAAATGATACAAGGTCTTTAGGAATATAGCCTTGAATAAAATGGAAGATCTCTGTACAACCCTAATTCCAATAGTCATTTTAAATTATATTTTTTTATTTTTAATAGCCTAGCCTCTCTTGTCAAGTTTTCTTTTGCTTATCACCTCCCCTGATATGAGTACTCTATTTTTAAGTTCTCCTTGATGATATTTTTTTTTTTTTTTTTTTTTTTGCCAGTCCTGAGGCTTAAACTCAGGGCCTGGAACTGTCTCTGATCTTCTTTTGCTCAAGACTAGTGATCTGCCACTTGAACCACAGCAGCACTTCCAGCCTTTTCTGTTTATGAGGAATCGAACCCAGAGTTTCATGCTTGCTAGGCAAGCACTCTACCACTAAGCCACATTCCCAGTCCCTCCTTGATGATATTCTTTATCTGGAATATTTTAACAGATAAAGAACTCATTTTTCTAGAAGTAAAATTCAACGTGACAGGTTAGAAGTCTTGGTGAAACTTCCATTGTCACAATTTCCCTATACAGACAATTTTGTATATATCAGTTAACTGAACAAAAGTAGATCTTTGGCATATACCAGATTGATACAGTAGAATTTTGTTTAATTGCTTTTCCCTCTGATAAATGTCCTGGCTTAAGACACATCCATTAAAATATTTTAGAATAAGCCAGGTGCTGGTGGCTCATGCCTTGTAATCAGCTACTCAGGAGGCTGAGATCTTAGGGTCATGGTTCAAAGCCAGCCCTGGCAGGAAAGTCCACGAGCCTCTTATCTCCAATTAAAGACCAGAAAACCAGAAGTGGTGCTGTGGCTCAAGTGGTAGAGCGCTTGCCTTGAGCTGAAGACTCAGTGATAGCACCCAGCCCCATGACCAACAACAACAAAAAAAGTCCATAGATCTACTGTTACATAGTATGATTAAGTCTGTCATTGTTTTAACTTAATTATACTTATCTCTCATTCTTTTGTAACATAACACAACCCTTGAGTTTTAGGGGAACTACCTGGAAAAAATGCTTAGTTTCCCTCGTTAGGTGCAGTTATGGCCAGAGTAAGCACAGAGTGCTTTCCTCTTCAATCAGTTGCCTGGGCTGCAGATAAAAGAGAGGACCTCAAGAATCCTCTTATAGAAGAGATAATTGCTTTGTGAGGAAAGCAGAAACTACCATGAGCACGGTCCTAAGGGCTTTGTGGAACTATTGTGCTTGATTTTGACTACCTGCATGAAGGAATGAAACTTTGCATATTTCAGTCACTCTTATTTGAGCATTTACTTATTTGGAGGAAACCATCATGTTAAGGGAGGAACCAGGGGCAGTCTGTAACAAGTTCTGAGGCAGAAGATTTTCCCCTCCTCCTCTAGACTTGGGCCACATTGTCTCACAGACCCCAATGAAACACAACCAGGTAAGATCAGCCATAGTACAAAGGCATGCAAAAATTCTCCATAAATTTAAAAGGCACAATCAAATTAACTATATAACTCTGAGAAATTCTTTGAAAATTTAGTAAAAATCTGAAATAAAGATTTTGAGGCTTTTTTTTCTCTTTTTAGCATTTTACCAAAATAGAACGAATATTTGTTTTTTTTATGAACGGAGATTATGGTTTTTTTAAAAAATTATTCAATGACATTTTCTTATGAAACTCAAGACATGAAATTTCTTACCTGGCCAGCAGCCTGAATGCTCAGGATAGCCACACGAGTATCAGGATCCTTTTGAAACTGATTAACCAGATGGATTCTTTCTGAAGATGGAACGCTTCCATCTATCCTAATGTAACGAGCCTAGCATCAACAAGGGAAAGACAAAATCAGAACAAGCTCCACGGACCATCTCATTTCATAAATTTTAAAGCTTATATTTATGGTCCTATAAAAATAAAAATTGTTTAACAGGGCAGCCAATGTTCTGTAAAAAGAATTTTAACGAAGTTTCTTATAATAACTTATTATTTTTTCAAAATTTAAACTACTTGAGGCTAGGTCTATGAATAATTCTGGGTTTTTTTTTTTGTTTTTTGTTTTGGTGCCAGTCCTGGGGCTTGAACTCTCTGGGCCTGGCACTGTCCGTGAGATTTTTGTGCAAGCTAGTGCTCTACCACTTAAGCACAGTTCCACTTCTGATTTCTTAGTGGTTAATTGTAGATAAGAGTTTCATGGGCTTTCCTGCTGAGTCTGGCTTTGGACCATGATCCTCAAATTTCAGCCTTCTGAGTAGCTAGGATTACATACCCCACTTAATTTGTCTTTATACCACCAATGCCAAAAGCAATGGATATATGGCAGAAACACCACAAAACTTTTTTGAATAAAGCTACTGCTTTCTTCAACAAAATCCTATGTAAATTAAGCATGGAACTTTGAAATAACGGGATCAAAATAACTATTAATTTAATGTTATAGAAGCAGTAATTCCAAAGTAAAAATAAAGCAAAAGTTGGGCCCTTGTGGTTCATGCCTATTCTGGGTACTCAGGAGGCTGAGATCTGAGGATCATGGTTTGAAGCAAGTCCAAGCAGGAAAGACCATGAGACTCTTATCTCCAATTAACCACCAAAAAGCCAGATGTAGAACTGTGGCTCAAGTGGCAGAGTGCTAGCCGTAAGCAAAAAAGCTCAGGGACAGCGTCTAGGCCTTGAGTTCGAGCTCCAGGACTGACACACACACACACACACACACACACACACACACACACACACACACACACACACAAAACAAAACAAAAAATTATATTATTGTTGTTATTATTATTTTGTGCCAGTCTTGAACTCAGGGCCTGGGCACTGTCCCTAAGTGTTGTTTTCTTCCCCTCTCACGCCCAGTTAGCTGAGGAGCTAGGATTATAGGCACGAACCACCAGCTCCTGGCTAGTACATGTATTTCTAAAATACTAATTGGGAAAGTATCACTCTTAACCTACCATTGGATTTTCTTTTTCCATATCATGAAATGTAAAACAAATATGTGATATGGTCACCTCCACTGAGGTGGAAAATCAGACAGTAACAACTCTTTAAAAAGGTGAGAAACATTAAGTATTAAGCTGAACAGTGTTGTGTTTAAGAATAATTTGAGTTATAAAGACAGCAGTGTATATTTTTTAAAAAGCTAAAAAGAACTTAAATCTCAACTTCATAAAAGTATAAGTACTAAGTTTCAGTCTCATTCAAAAATGCACTTCAATGGAAAAACATCCTTAAATACTTGAGACATGAACATTCACTTTAAAAAAGAATACCCATACCTGACTTATGATGCTGTAACCCCTCTGTATATCACTTTTATAGTAACAAAAGATAGAAACAGCAAAAAAGAATACCCAAGTGAATCATTAAATAGAATGATTTTCTATCTTCGCAAGTCAAATATAATATGACCAAGAGCTAGTTAATATTCATTATGGAAGACTGTAAAATCCTGTGAAAGTCTTTGAAAGAAAAATAGATGGTAACAGTAGAGAAAGTTTGGGAGAAACATCTCATTCTAGGGTTACCAATATTTTAAAGTAATTCTAAATAAAATTCTAAACATATCAAAAAATGAGTGTGGGAAAAAGAGATAGATTACTGGGTACTGTGCCCAAAATAGATTCCAGTAGTTTTACAGTAAGTTAGAATGAGAATGAGAAAGATATTATGAATCTGATTTTATTGCTCTATCTCTTAGAATTATTTATATAAGGTGAATGAACTCTTCTTCAGTTGGTGTTTACATATATTGTATAATATCCAATGCTTTGAGTTATAATTGTAACAGGTATGGGTATTCTTTTTCAAAGTGAATGTTCATGTCTCAAGTATTCAAGAATGTTTTTCCATGGAAGTGCATTTTTGAATGAGACTGTTTGAAACTTAGGACTTATGAGATTTAAGTTCTTTTTAGCTTTTTAAAAAAATACACACTGCTGTCTTTATAACTCAATAAGATGCTTTGACATCTTAAAATGATTAACAATTAATTACAATTAATTCATTACTAGAATTGCTTTTTTAATGGTAATAAACATATTTGCTAATGCTTAACATATACACAAGTTTTTAAAAACATTAGTTTATTCTTGGTTTTTAATAATTGACGGTAAGCAGCTGGTATGTTCGAAGACTGCTTTTGACTGCTTCTCAGTATCTCTCAGAAGCCCTCACCATTTACAGATAACAAGAAAAAAAAAGAGAATAATGCTGCTACTGTTATGATTATTGGAAATAAAGGTAGATTTAAGAAAATGCAGTAAGGTAAACTAATTTGGTGTAGCTAACTTGATAAATGATGTGGGCTATACAATGCAAAGCAATCTTTACAAACTCTAACAATCATTTTCTATAGAGCATACTGCTTGAGAGTTTAGAAAGTATGACTGCAGTGGGGCATTATAAATGCCTGAATTTATTCTTCCCTCTCAAAAAGCCACAAAGTACCAGTCTCAGATAGCATGCCCAAGGAATTGCCATTATGGCTATCAAGATAGCCTATTGATAATTCAGATGGACTGAACAAAGGACAATGTTAAAGTTAGTAAAAACAGAAAAATAGCACATCATCATAATAATACAATGCTAAAATTTGCAAGAAAATATTTCATAGTAGTAGATCACATTCCTAGAAGTACAAGACTACTAAATACTACCCCAATACTATTAAAACAAATAAACAAAAACTTACAATATCATCTAAAGAAGGCAAAAACTCCTGCCTAAGGTATAACACTTTAAGTGATGTCCAGCATAGAAAAAAATTTACATTCTAAATATTATTTGATAGAAAAATGTCAAAGTACCTTGTTCTCAATGACTGCTTCTGTGCAAGCTTGGAGCATACTTAAGTGGTGAGCAAAAATCAGAAATTTAAGTGAATCATTCTGAAGCATCATTTTAATATAATCCTTTACAGCACCTGCCTAAATATTAAAAGTTAAAATTTGTTAATGTCATAACATTTTCATTAAAAATCATTTCACTTTTAGTAAAGCAAGAGAAATGTCGTAAAAGCACTCAGTCTCTATGAACAACAGTATGTCTCTGTGAACTTAGCTGCTTTTTCCACTAGTCAGCCTAAGGAAGTAGAAGCATGTAGAAAAGGAGGACAAGAAGGCACTTTATTTTTTATCACTGTAAAAAAAATACTTGGGAGAAATCAACTTAAAAGAGAAAAGATATACTTTGGCTTCATTTCAGATATTTCAGTCCACAGTTACTTGGCTCTGTTATTTCTAGCAGTGGTGGGACAGAAAAACATCAGGTGGCAAGAAGCATATGGCACAAGAGGCTGCTGATTTTGTAATGGCCAGGAAGCAGGAGAGCGAAGGAGTATGCTTATTCAAGACAAGCCCTTAGGGCTGGGAAGGTGGCTCAGTGGTAGAGTGCTTGCCTTACATGCATGAGGCCCTGGGTTCGATTCCTCAGCACCACATAAGCAAAAAGAAAAAAGCTGGAAGTGCCACTGTGGCTCAAGTGGTAGAGCGCTAGTCTTGAGCTGAAGAGCTGAGGGATAGCACCCAGGCCTAGAGTTCAGGCCCCACGACCAGACCCAAAAAACAAAAACAAAAAACAAGACAAGCCCTCAGTGACTAGCTTCCTCTAACTAGGCCCCACCTCCTAATTCCTACCACTTCTAGGTGTTAATTACAAATGCAAGGGACAGCACTTGCCTAGAATATACAAGACACTTCATTCAATCCCCAGTACAATAAAAAAGAAACAAAATTATAAATACAATAAGGAATTAATCAATGGATTAAGTTAGACCCTCTCATTATCCAATCACTCCCATAAAGCCCACTGACAAATTACAACAGAGGGGGAGTAAATGAGAAGTAAAACAAAGTTTCCCTGGAAAGGGATATTCAAACTAGGTATGATCAAGTCTTTTGTTTAGAAGATGACTTTCAATAGAAAACAAAGCATAAGATAGTTAAGGAGAAAATGGAAGGTTAAAAAAAAATCAGCAGGACACTGATGGATCACACCTGGATCTACTACTTAGGAGGCTGAGATTTGAGGATCATGGTTTAAAGCTGTCCAGCCACGAAAGTCTGTGAGACTCTTCTCTTGAATTAACCACCAGAAAACCAGAAGTGGTGCTGTGGATCAAAGAGCACTAGCTAGCCTTGAGCAAAAAGAGCAAGGACAATGCTCAGGTCTTGAGTTCAAGCCCCATGTCTAACAACAACAACAACAATAACAACAACAACAACAAATCAGCTGGGTACCAGTGGGTCACATTTATAATCCTATCTACTCAGGAGGATTGAGGTTCAAAGCCAGCTTAAGCAGGAAAGTCTGTGAGACTTATATCCAATTAATCACCAGAAAGCCAGAGGTGAAGCTGTGGCTCAAAGGGTAGAGTACTAGCCTTGAGCACAAAAGCTCAGGGAGAGTACCCAGGGGCCTTAATTCAAACTCAGGAACAGTACAAAAAAAAAAAATTGTAAAAGAATCAGCAGTCTGGGACTGAAGTTTGTGGCTTAGCAAGTTTTTATTTATTATTTTAATAAGAAACAGGTATGAGCCAAGTGACAGTGGCTCACACGTGTAATCCTAGCTATATAGACTTGATGGTGGTTCGAAGCTAGCCCAGGGAAGACAAATTGGAGAGATTCTTATCTCTAAATAGCAAAATGCCAAAGATGGAGGTGTGGTTCAAGTGGTAGAGTGCCAGCCTTGAACAAAAAAGTCAAATGAGAGTGAGTTCAAGCTCCAGTATTAAAGAAGAAAAAAAAACTTTTAAAAAAGGAAATAAAACTGTTTATAAATAGGCAATTAAAGCAGTAGACAGAGTAGAACAAAGGAAAAATAAAGGCATCTCATTTTTTCTATCTGTGGGGTATAGAAGATTCCAGAAGAATGAGTGCAGATCAAGAGCACAGGAAGAGTTCTGAGAGTACAGGGTCAGATGGGGAAATTATGAGGAAGTAGGGAAAAAAATAAAGAACATTGGAATTAAATAGGCTTTCTGAGTAAGAAAAATAAAAATAAGATCAGTTAAATTTAAAGTACATAGCATGAATTAAACATAAAACATGAATATATTATTTCTCAACTGTCAGAAACCAGTTACTAGCTTGGTGGTGCATGCCTAGAATCGGAGATTAACATAAGTTTGAGGCTAAGGAGCTACATACTGAGACCTTGTCATAAACAAATAAAACAACAACAAAAATTGAATTAAATTTCTCAGCAACAGTAGTAGAAATTCTTAGGTAAAATGACTCCTAAGAATTTTATATTCAGACAAATTAGAAATAAGGTATAAAAATACAGTTTTAAACATGTGACTCAAACAATTTATTTCTAGTATATTCTTTCTTGGGAAGCTACTGGAGAGAGTCCAGAAATATAGGGGAGTAAACCAAGAAAAAATAAAATATCAAGGAAAGAGATGATTCAGCATAGGGGAGAAATAAATACAATCTCTAGTGAGTGCTGTGCAGCAGTCCTGAGAACAGTCTAGATCAGAGTTGTTCAGGGGCTCCACGGAAAATTTCTCTTAGAAGATGAAATTAACCTAACACCTAATATTTAAAGATAGCAAGATGAGATTAAATAACTAGGATACTTTGAAGATGAATCAGTGGCAGTAACACAGACAACTAACCATAAGAAGAAAAAGAAAAAGAAGAAACAGAAGGCAATCCTAACTACAACCTCCAAGGAAAATGAGTTGTGGAAGACAGAAAATGTAATAAATGGGTAAGAAGTTTGTTAGAAGGCATTCTGGTGCCTTCTTGCAGAGGGCTGGCTACAGATAGTGATAGTGCACCATATATTTCAAAAAGCTACAAAAGAATTTTTGAATGTTTTCACCATAAAGAAATGGTAATGTTTGAGGAGCTAAATGCATTTACGCATACTGAGACATTATATAATGTATTGAAAGTCTACATGGTTAACAAAAATCCATGTAAGAGAATGCTGAAGGGTGACATTGATCTGATATACTGTATTCATAAACTACTTTGTTAAATGGCAACTCTTTTGTGCAACTAAAATAAATATATGAAAAGAATCTGTATTTCACATAGTTTACTTGCAAATATTTTAAACAAGGGTGAATATATAGTTAATACTATACATAGTGAATGCTGAACAAACTAAAAAGTGTAAGTTGGTATAAAATTAGTTAAATATCACTGTGATGGAGCATGGGTGGTATGTGTATATGATGAGACGGGGCAAACAGCTAAATTAATTTGTTTATTGTTTTCATATTGAGCAATCAATAGCTGATAGCTAAAATTACAAAGCAAGTAGTAATACAAACTAAGAAGTCATTTAAGTATGGTGTTAAAAGACTTGAGTTAAATACCAAAACTACTCCTACTAAAAACTACTCCTATTAGAGCTACTCCTAGTTACTCACTCCTAGCTACACAGGAGACTGAGATCTGAGGATTGTGGTTTGAAGCCAGCCCAGGAGAAAAGTCCATGAGACTCCTATCTCCAATAAACTACTCGGAAGTGTTGCTTTGGCTCAAGTGGTAGAGCACTAGCCTTGAGCACAAAGAAGCTCAAGGACAGCACCCAGGCTCTGAGCTCAAACCCCAGGAATAGCAAAACAAAAACCAAAAACCCAAAACTAAAACAAAACAAAAACCAGTCTTTTAAAAGAACAGAAAGTGCCACTGGGAAACAAGATAAAAGACTGCTATTTGTGGGGGGGGGGAGAGATTTTCTGGTTGTTAAAGTATGACAGTACATAGCACTGGTAATTTTTTAAAGTGGGGTATATCAAAATTGAAAACACTTATTTAAATCCCATGCACATTGACTGCAAAGTGCCACGATTTATTCTGCAAGCTACATTTTGCATGTCTAAGTTTTTTGAACAACAGAAATTCACCACACAATGAGAGTGGAGGCTGTTAAGAACTTTAGCCTTGGATTTCAGTGCCTCAGAGAGCAGAAATGAAGCCCTCCCAAAACAAGGAGCTATAAATTCTGGATTATGTTGTCATGGCAACAGAATCACTTTAATAACGTGCCTGTTTGCCTAAAGAGCTATAGTTACTGTGATAAGCCTTTCAAAAAGTACACATCAAGTTGGGGTATTTGAAAGGAACATTCATTACTATCCAGTGCAGATTTACAAATTATATGATTGCTGAACCTTTAGTTTCAAAAGCATTCTTCTTCCTCTTCCCAAGTAAGCTATTTCTGCCAAAATCCCTTCCTTAGGGGAGGGCATATCGCCCACTCCCCATCATATACTTAGCTCAGGGTCTATACTTCCTCTCCCTTCAAATCACTATCTTAGAAAGGTTCAGAGTTATGAAGAATATTATAAATTTCAATTGCACAATTGGCTATACAGGCTCTTGGGACTAACTTCACAATTTATCTATCATTTCTGATGTCAAATGTGTTTAAGAGTACCAACAAAAGAATTTTAGGATTTTCTTAAGTTCTGAAGTTAGAGTTTGTACGCTGTTGCCTTTTAACTACTTTGATTTACTCTACTTAAAATTGTCACTGTAAAAAATAATTGTCACTGTACCGTTAGATTTAAGTCATCTCAAGATAATTACCTTAAAGACATAGTATCTATAATGACGGGTCCTGATAATGATCAGCATCTTGATTATACTGATTGTACAAGTTGCTTGTACCATTCAGTCTCAGCTAAGACCTTGGTAAGTCAATTTCCTAAGAAACCCTCATTGTTATTACGTGATCACCCTTTATATGTGACCAAGTTCTTCATACACTACTTTTGATATGTAAGCCGTTAGCATTATTAGTATTATTTTTTTTGGTCTGGTTGTGGGGCCTGAACTCTGGGCCTGGGCACTGTCCCTCAGCTCTTCAGCTCAAGGCTAGCGGTCTACCACTTGAGCCACAGTGCCACTTCCGGCTTTTTTGTCCTGCTTATGTGGTGCTGAGGAATCGAACCCAGGACCTC